TTTCTGCCTATTTTGTGACCTTTAAATATTTCCGACTGTATAACGAACTAAAACATCGACTATTTCCCATGAAACGATCGTCTTTCGTCCGATTTTTTTAAGCTGAAGTTGCGAATTTTACTGTCAGGGAAGGCATTATCAGCCAACTCCCAACACAATGGCTTACTGAGTTTCGGCCAAGCATTCTTCTGCCCACCAGCATGGATCACTGCTTATACGGGATGCATATGCTCCATTGGTTTTGCCACGTCTGCTTAATTTCAGGATTGGACACGAGAATAAGGGGCTCGATGCCGCAGATGGCCTTGTGCTAAATTACAGTGGGGGTACCTATTCCTCTATCTCAACTTTGACCTGGAAACTATCCCGCATAGCCTTAACTCTCTTGACCCTAGCGCTTATTCCAACGCAAGGCCACCAGCAATACCAAGGGCCCATATTTCGGTGCTCTAGCAATTTCGATAACATTTCACGTCAGTTGTACGCAAAATTACGTCTTTACACACTACAGGAGATTACCCCATGATGCCTTTCCCAGATTCGTTAGTGTTATTTAACGTACGCAATGGTAATGTTCTTTGGGCAGTGGAAAGCGTCTATTTGATGGCGCGTTGGGTAGTACCATTTCGCTTCAGACGAAATTCCTGGCTCATGACTGAGAAGTCTTCGGAATTCTATTTCTAAATATGCCACCCCTAGTGCTGTGGACTTCTATCATAATGCAGAATTTTGAGACATCCTTTCTCGTACAGCAGGTGCTAGGATACTTTCTTTAATATTGCCATGTTAGATTATGATTTACTTCAAACAGACATGAAACATTACTCAGAAAAGTGAACTTTGCGTAAACAGTAGGTTTCTCGCCCATGGAAAGCATCTTAAACGAATGCCAGCGCGCTGCCGTGTGGCAGTTTTGGAGTGCTTGTCTTGTCAGGCAGCTTTAGAACTTCACATAAATCCGATTGAGGGAGAAAGATACATAAAGAAGGCATAATTCAGTTGAATCGATCAAAGTGTGCTGTTGTGAGTTTCATCCCGTTTACTTCTTCTCGTTCACAGAGCTGTCCTACCCAGAGTTTTGACTCTTCTTGTCCGAGTTTCCTTACCGCTTGCCTCTTGTTTTATATGAACCCCTTTCTGACCGCCAGTCATTTATTGCCTCATTTGCACGTTCGGAATTCGTGGTCCTTTCGCCATTTGGTAGGACCAATTGCATGCTTTGAGAGGTCGTGTAAAACTGCCCTACATAAGAGCCTATTAATGACAATTCCCTTATATGGAGACTTTCAAAACTGATCTGAACTGGTCTTCTTCTCTTTACCAAAGCGTGATGTGAAGAACGATGATTGTCGTTTTTTCCACTTTATGCTGCACTGCAAATGGATAGTTAAAACGCTGAATATGTCACCTGAAGGTTTCACTGCATATATTGGTTGGACGGAGTGGGTAACCTGAAGTATCTCTCCATTCCATTCCCGTCATCTTTCTGTACACGGTTTACCAAAGCGCACAAAACACAGCTTTAATCACCCTGAGGAATTTCTAGGGTGAGTCCACCGCACCGCCTTTGTTGTTCCATCGTATTTAGTCTTGGGCCGGCGATTTTCGCAGAAGGGCATCTCGTTTTAGACTACTACGTATTCTTAAATAAAAGGGCTAGAACGCTTGCACTGCGGTCTTCGACCCTTTTTAGCTTCAATCATGCATAGTACCTTCAAATTTCATGAAATGGGACCTCTTTTTAACGTACAGCAATACCCCGAAAATTCTCGTTTCCGAACCCACGACTTTATTAAGTCACCTACCTTTTTTCCATCGAACCGAACATTTAAACTTCGCGTAGCATTCACTGTCTCACAGAAACTGGGCTCATGCGAGTTTAGTACCCCAGAAAGGACGCGGGCGGTCACGAGGGGGCGTAAAGAAGGCGTACGTACGGTATCTTAGTATATCTACACTACAGTACAGTACTGTATGTATTTACTATTACTCGTACGATTTTAAACGGTAATGTAGATTAAATCACCAATTTTAGATGAACTTAAAGTGTTTTGAGAACATGCCTAGTGTCCAACATTTGAAGGTAGGTATTTATAGGCCTTTGTTATTTGTATGTCCAAAGTGCACTCATTTCTAAAAATCACGGGAGTCTAGAGAGAACCCAGCTCTCGTTTCCTTGGCCATAATAATTAGCCGTCTCTCGTGAATCCCGTGCATGCATGAAGTGGTCTTCCACTACTTCACTCAGTAAGCACTCAGTCGAATTTCTGCCGTTGTTTAAAACCATATGATCACAGAATCAGCATGGATACTTTCAATTTTTAGGCATTCACAGCCGCACCGCCCCTTGCTATGGGCATCTTTGACCGGATTTATCCTGAAGATAAGTGTTTGTCGTCCCCGGCCGTCTTCTACCGCGCCCACAGACTGCATTCTTTTAACCTTCGAGTAAGTTCCATCGGTATCTATTTCTTTCACCAGGCCATGCCCCCTTCCCCGTCTAACGCAACATTTTCTTCTGCCGACCGAAACTCCGCCCTGTGTCCTACTTCCAGGTCTTTCTGTTCTGCCTCCTTGATGGAACGTTTCACTCGCTGATCCTCTTCGCCGTTTCTGCCCTCGCCTTCCGTTACGGTCCGTGTTGCATTTTGTACGCCTGTTGTGTTTCGCCACCCCTGCCTCTCTTTTTTCTCTCAAACCACTCTTTCCTGATCTTCAGCGAATAGGTACGCTCTTTATCGCATACCCATAATCTATCAAGTGCATAATTTCTGTGGCAGGTCCTGTTATCACTGGCAGACTTTGCCTGTGTTTTTACTACTGGAGTTGTGCATAATAGAGGTTCCTACATGCCCGTTTCAAACGGAACCTCAACAGAAAATTGGCACTGGTTCATGTCGTACTCACTTCTTTATAGTTGCACCAGGATGACTAACTGTCTCCTCCGATCTGTGTTCTCCGCTAGGAGATGTGGGTTCGCGGCCACATGATCCCTCTCCTAGGTGCCTTTTTGTGCAGAACTGTATCCTTAATTACGGATTTAACGGACACATCCATCGTAAGCAGCCGCTGAGTCTTGAACCTTCTTTATTTAAGCTAGTTTTGATAGCAGTAGAGGCAAGCTAATTAGTCAGTTAGTAGGTTCTCACGACTATCAAGCCCGAGTTAGCTCTCAAGCAGATTTAAACTGAGGTCACCTCGACCTAGTGGGGATTGTTCTCTATGCACACCGGTCTGACATATTGCCCAGAAAATTAGCCAATCGCAGCTGGTGGCGTCTTCGTCCCGATGATACATCCGTTAATCTTACTTTTGACTTGTCGATCATCGTCTGCTGCTTAGTGTATGGGATCTTGTTGTCATGGCAACAATTAAGCTCTTAGCCTAGTAATGCTTGCGTCTTACGAATTTACAGGTAGGGTGCGAGTA